GTCAACTGTCCTGTCTCGCACAGGGCACAGCAAACCTTTTCTTTTAGTCAGAACTGGTCTGGACCAGAGGAGGAAAACCCCTTCCGTCCTGAAGCACCCCCCAGGTGGTCTGGACCCAGCTCTTTCTGGCTTGGTCACAACCCTTGTGTCAGGTCTGCGACAAGGGCGAGCTGTGTTGCAGCAGCACACGGCTTGTTGAGACTAACAACAGATGGGGCATGTCGACTCACACTGCCCTGGCCACCCAAAACCGAGCAAGAACCTTTGAAACCTGCTGTATACGGAGAGCTATAAACACGTAACAACTCATTTGCAAGCCTTGGATGGAGGATCAGTCGCCAGGGAGGTGGAAGACTTCTGCGCTGTTTCTCGCTGTTTTTTCCTCACTGGAAGCAGCCGGGAAAGGACAGGGAAACAATGGGAGATTAATTTTCCTGAAGCCAGGGGACGGGCAGACCGGTACAGCAAAGAGAGGGCTAGGAGGGCAGGATCTCAGCCAGCAGAGCTGTGCTAGCCTGGGGCAATGCTGACAAGGAACTTGATTCTCACCCCTTGAAATAACAAAAACTGTGGGGAAAAGTGGCTTTATAGACTTTCTCCTGTTTCAGCTGCTAAAGTAGGACCTCCAGAGAGAAATTCAGCTGCTCCTGAAACCAATGGATCAGCTCCCATGGAAGTCGGAGGAGGCAGGGTTTCATTCTGGTAAATAAGCCTGGCTGGATCACTATTAGATATAGCACCCATAAGAAGTTTTATCTCAATAGAAGACCTAATGAAAATGCATGGCTATATGTAAACTATAAAGTACCCCCTAAAAAAACTGCTTTCCCAGACCTGTTTTTTTTCCAGGGGTACCCAGTAACCCTGACCCAACAAGCTGAAAGGTATAGCTTGTCCAAAGGGAACAAGGAAAGGTAACAGCAGGGTGTTTCTCAGCACAAAGGTTTTCTATTGAAAAGCAATGAAGAGTGGCCCTGCTTCATGAGGCCAGCTAGTGCGAGGGGACTCCTGCCACTTCCTGAAATCCAGCTGCCCCAGCAGCATGACCCAAAAAAAAGGTATTCAAAATTATAAGATAATTTTGATAGGTGGGCTAAAACTTCCATTTTGCTCAGCAGCTGCCCAGCTGAGCTGGCCATGTGCTCCCTGGCTCCCTACCTGCTTTAGCTGCACTGTGCGCCTCTTGTGCCAGCCACTGCTGGAGATCAGTTCTGCTTTCTCCGTCAGCACTACCAAAGAGAAAGAGCAAAGGCTGCCAAAAGTCAGCATTTTCTGCTGGGAAATCAGAACTTCTGGTAAGGCAGAGGTGAAGTCATTGCCATAATGCAGTGCTGTGGAGAAGGTGGTATGGAAAAAGGACACTGCCTTCCAGTCTGTGCTATGATAAATAAGAGGAGTCATCATTCAGTTATCAACTGATAGATATTGACACAACAAAATAAAGCAGCTTCTCAGGCTACTTCCTCCACCTCTAAACCCGCAGCACATTCTTCTCCCTAGCAAAGCTGTTGTGCTCATTTGACAATACCAGGATTTGTTCCTGCTTCCACTTATGCTGCTCTTACTCAGGCCCAAAGCCATCACTCAGCTACTTCCCTACAAGTTGTTAGGACAGGGGGAGCAGAAGGAGCCCTCAACACACAGTCACCAAAGCAAGCCACATGACGCCAGTCACTCCATCCCATTAGCTAACATGAAGCGCAGGGACAAAGCCATCTCTCTTACCCTTCCCTCTGTCCTGTTCCTGGGTAGAGAACAGCAGAAAGCATATCCTATTTCATGCCTCTGGCATGTGGATGTAAGAAAGTTATTTTATAACAATCTTATTATTAAAGATGAGATGATGACAGCTAATGATAAGGCGCAATTCAGAGGAGCCCTGTCAGTGGACTCATTGTCAGCGCTGGCAGCTCTGCCCTGGTTAGATGAAGGCAGACCTGCACTCCCTCACTGGGGTCTCCAGAGGGACAGCATGAGGTCACAGCAAGGCCACAGGCTCAACATTTGTCTAATAGCAACCCCAGCCTGGACTGAGAAACACAAAGGGCTGGGTTGTGGGGTATTTCAAAATGCTAGAGCTGCTTTCCTCTGTGCAATTGAAAGCATATCCTTCCTCCCCTTCTTTCATTTAAACAGTAAAACCTTTGTGGGTTTGGATTTTGTCCCTCCATTTGCCTCACTTTAAAAATCAAATCCCTTGTTCACAGGTAGCTTTATCTTAAATGGCTATTTTTCACATCAATGAGGATACTAAACATAATGGCCCCCTCCCTGATGGACAAATTACTGGCATCAGGCTTAAGGTTTTGAGCTCTTTAAAGCCATTTTGAGGGCTTTATAAAGGCCCTTAAGCTTTTTTGAGCTTTATAAATGCCACCTGGGAAGGAGCTAACCCTGCAGTACAAAGACAGTGAGATGCTAACAGACAGACCTGCCCTCCCAACACATGCCTCTTCTAGAGCATCATTTCAAGATTTTGCTATCTACAAAGCAAGCATAGGAGACAGTTCACTCCTGTGGTCTCACACCACCTAGCATCCTCCTTGGTGTTGAGCACCATAATCTCATAGGCTCCATAGCGCCCTTGTGAATAGCAACTTGGAATTATCAGCTAATCATCAATCTCAGTATGCCAACACACAGGGCTTAGGGGGATCCCAGACATGCAACCCCTCCAGAGCTGGGCTGTCACCATTTTCAGTAGCACAGGGAAGCTTCAGCAGCTGTAGGTAGCTCTGGGATCAATACCTCAGTTATAATCACTCCATGCTTAGCTCCACCATGCAGAAGGTTTTGTGTGGCTACATGAGACATTAAGTTTTGAGCTCTATTTCACCGAAGCTCCCTCCTATCACAGCAGATAAGTAGAGTAGCACATCACGTACAGTAAAATGAGAGTAGGGGTGTAGTTAACCCAACCTCAAGTGTCATATGGAAGAGATTTAACCTCCTATCATTCATACACCAGAGATGATGTACCAGCTCTGATGCTCTCTCGAGAGTTGTGTGCTTTGCCCTGAGTTAAATATTGTGCTATAGCTCACTTGACATCATGCGGGTCACTGCTGAAATGGAAAAGGATTGCAGCAGCAATCAGCTTTTATTTGGAATTGAAAATACAAGCATGTTGCCTATGTAAACAGAAAAATATATATATAGACAAAGTGAGTGTGTGACAAAGGTAATAACTTGCTGAGAGCCACACCTGGTGGTGATGTGTCAAGGGTACACCTCGGTCACCAGAGAACCTTAACTGGAAAGCTCTCTGTGGCACAAAATATACCAAATGGTAGGTATTGCCTCCTTCATAATCATAAGGAAAAGCTGACCAGCAGCCCTACACACTGTGGAAGAGTCTCCAAAGGGAGGGGTGGGGAAGTACCTAATTTAAGAATAAATGGAGTCTTGCCTTGAAAAATGCATGGAAAGAGGACCCCAAGGAGAGGAAACCCCCATCTCTACTGATGCAGCTGTCATGCCTCATGTGCCAGGATACCCCTGTGGAGACAGGCATTCATGTGATGCATAGAAACCAGGCTTGGGGAAGGCTTTGGAAACTCTTATAACTCTTCAGGCAGTCATAACACTGAAATGTGAATGAGTTACAAAGAAGAAATGAAACAAAACCAAATCTGTGTCAGGAGATGATTTTACAGGGCTCCCGTTGTGTCTGAACTTATCAAGCAAAGCCTTCATTTCCAATCTGATCCAAAAACCACCAAAGCCAAGCACAGCCTGTTTGCTGCTCCAGGAGGCTTTACAGCAGGCCCTTTCTGAGCCATGGAGGGAACACGTTTTGGAAAGGAAAAGAAATATGCTAAGTTAATTGGACAAAACATTTTCAGCACCCCTTAGAAATGGGCACATTTACGTGCAAGCTGACAAAGAGCATTTAGGTAATAGTTAAAAGACATTTCATTAAAAATTGAATCATTCATGCACTATCAGAGCAGTTTTGCCTTTTCATTTCCCCTCAAACATTTTGTGCTGCACACAACACTTTTGTACTCCTTATTTTGCAAAATTAACTGCCAGATCAACTTCCAGCAGGAATCATGGGTGAGAAATTCCAGAGGGAAAGGTGAAGCTGGAAGAAAGGCCTTTCCCCAGCAAAGAGCTGCGTTTTAGCTTTGACACAACAGAACACTCAGATAAAACCACGAATTAAAGACAGCAAGCACAAAAGGATTTAGATGCTAAAATGAGGCAGAGATGAAGATTATTATTTCTATAGATTAAATTCAAACAACTCTGAACAGCTGGAGTGTTTCTACAGCACCTCTCCTGCTGTGATTTGAGCCTATTGAGGCCAAGACTGATGGCCACTGGGGTCACACACCCAGCCTGGCTGCCAGCAGAGGACAACATACCTTAGGCCACCCCTTGCTTGGGTGCCAGCTGAAGGACAGGGACGCACATACCTGCAACAGCCGGAGGTGGCTGTCATGGACCCGCCACCACAGCCCTAACTCTGCCAGCCCCAGCGGCGTGTTGACGTGAAAACAGGGAGACAAGGGGGGTTAACATGCCTCTTCTGGCAGGCCTGCCTTCATCTGCTGCTCGGTGAGCCTTCTCTGTAGGGCAAACCCTTGGCTGCCTGTGCCCCCTGCACCATGGAATGCAGCTGGAATGGAGAAGAGTGTTTTCAGTGGCGAGTGGGGAGGACAAGCAGGTTCACCCCAAAAAGGCAGGGCTAAGCCTACATGGGCTTCACTCTCAAGACTGAACAAACCTCAGTCTTGCATCTCTTGCAGCACCCTGTACTAGGCCATTCACGTGGGAAGTCTATTACATCCCTCCCCTACGGGTTTCAGCAGTGTGGTGAGATAAAAAAGAAGTAATTATTAAATACTGTCCATTCTAGTAGGATTGCCACCCCAGACACCTTCCCCCTTGCCTCCCATGGGATGGCTGCACATCCAGAACAGGCCCTGCAGAGCTCTGTTCTCACACAGCACCCGAAGCTATGAGTGACTGGGGCTGAAGAGCACCAAGCAACCTGCCTGAGGCCTCTTTGGGAACGGCTCGCTCCGGGGGCCTTTCCTCCCTCCAGCTGCAGCAGATCCTGGGGAGAAACCTCTTGGCTTGACCTTCAGGAGCCCTCCGCCTGCCTCAGTGCGGGTATCCACCTCCTGCTGGGGCTGTTTTGATCAGAGCCCTTCTCTCCCCTCACCCGGCTGTGGCAGGAAAGTTCAAGGTGTCCTGGCAGCAGGAAGCTCCTTTGCTCCACCCTCTGCGGGGCACACCAGCTGTCTGAGCATACCGAGGACCTGCTGAACCAGAGCTGCCAGCGACAGCAGCCGGACCTGTGCAACCACCTGGGTGGGAGCTAGACCCCCGGCATGAAGCACCCCTCCTGCGGGCCCTCGGCAGCCATCACTGTGCTCTTCTGCACCGCCGTGCTCTGGTATTCCTGCTCAGCTGGTATGTGTATTCTCTCATGCGCTGGTTTCTATTCCCTGCCTTTTCCCCTGCTCCATACCAAAATATGTTGCCCACTTACAATAATTTGTTCCTTTAAAAAAAGGTGGGCTCCCTTGTCTCATTTAAAAAGTGTTAAGAGCTGGAATTGACTAATGCCATTGAGAATTATCAGTGATGTGATTGATCACAGAATCTTTCTGAAGAGATGTGCTTTTACCAGCTGTTTACAGAGCCAGTGTAAATATGACTGAGCTCTAGGTTGCTCTACTGAATAGCAAGGGGGTAGGAAACCACGGTTACTTGGCCTTCCATACTGGCTGAGGCAAGGGACCATTTGGAATACCACCCAGGAGGCTCAGTATAGTCTGGTTTAGCTCTTACTAGGTGCTTTTTTGTGGGAAATACGGCTTTGCTGCCTCCTTACTTGTAGAAGCTGCCTAAAAATAAAATGCAATTGGGACCTGTGAGCAGCTCCTTTCCCGCCAGGCTCCTGCCTGCATTCTTGTATCAGCACCAGCTGAGACCTGCCAGGTTAAAGATGGGTTAGCTTTGACAGGGCTGCAGAGTCTATAAACATGATCCATTGGCTGGTATCACAGCTCACACACAGTTCTTAATGATTCTTTCTAGTGCTCACGTGAGGTACTTATTAACCGTCACGGGTTTAGCCAAAGTAATTCAGCAAGGCCTAGCACAGTCAGAAAGAGCAATGGGGAGTACTCAGGCCCTTCCCTGGAGCAGGCTGCCCAGGGACCCGCTCCTAGTGTGTCAGTGGCCATAAGGAAAGCTCTGGTCTTGCTGCCTCCCTGTCAGGTCAACATGCAAAGCTGGGCAACAGGTGACCCTAAGAGGGGCTTCACCTGCAGGACAACCTCAGTTTATTTGCTGTTACATGGAAAATACCAAACTTAAAGCAGAAGTTTGGTAAGAGGTCTTGTTCTGTTTTGTTCTCCTGAGCTGAAACTAAACCCGAACTGCTATTTGAAAGTCTTAACTGAAATCAGGCTGGAATTGATTTTTCTCACACTCCAAATTATCAGCTCAGAGGGATGGTTTGACTGGGGACAGCTCTCCCATAGCTTCTACTCGGTCTGTGGACAAGCAGCACGTTGGAGCCCCTCCATCTGCGTGCAGGTCCTTACTCCTGTAGCTTCTCCTGTATGTTGTATTTTCCAGCCTTGACTAGTTTTTGTGCTGGCCTGAGCTGGAGCTCAGCCAGAACAGTTTCAGGCACAACTCTACCTTAACCGTGGCAAAGCCAAAGCTCCTCACCAAGGCTGTGGTGGCTCTGCTGGTGCTCTCCACAGATGGCCTCAGCCCTCAGCTCTGCCAGTCTCCTTCACACCCTGAAGTTACTGGAAATCTTCTAAGGGCAGAAGGAGGAAGACGTGCAGCTCACTGGCCATGCGTCTCCCCATGCCACTGAATGCTGAATGCCCTCTCTCGTTTCAGTCGTTGCTCAATATGCCCCTGTAGCTTGGAAAAAGTGAATAATCTGAGCTCTGAGAGAATGGCTCACACGAGGGTCATACCCAGGTAGAGGCACAGTGATTCAGTTGCTTATGATGCCTGATGCTAGAGCAGGTCTCTCCAGAGCCTGTGTACACAGTGGTGGGATGAGAAAGCATACCTTGCTGCTGCAATGTTTAGGAGAAGAACTTACTTTCTCCAAGTTGTTGCCACCCTACAGACCTCTGCAAGGCTTCTAGATTTTCGTGCTCGATGCCCAATATGGCTTTTTTAATGTAACTTGCGTTTTCTCATGTCCTTTCCTTCTGGCAGCAGCTCAAGAGGTCTCCAATGCTTCAACAAGCTCAATGCTCACAACTGAGTACGAAACACCATGTCTTAGTAAGTATTTATAAATCATTATTACCATAATAGAGTCAGGTGATGAAAGTACACAGGTGACTGAGAGACTGTCCTGGAAGAGGATTTATGTTTTGTGAAGCCTGCCACTGTGGGTGAAACTCTAGGACACATTTCTAAGACTCCTCCACTGGCGTGCCCATAATACCTTAGGTACCTTCAGGTGGACTCATAGCTGTGAACAGACTATTTCATAGTTAATTCAATTTGTGTGTACTAAAGCTCCCTGCAGACTGCCTGCCTTTAGGCACAATACAGATTCTCAAGAGTGTTTCTTCCCCCCAGCTACCAGGTCTCCCCCAAACAGCCAGTCCCAGACAACCTGAGAGCCAACCAGTCCTCCCTGAGTCATCCTCCATCCAAATGTCAAACACCCCTGCAGTCCTGCACTTCCCAAATTATAGTATGCATACAAATTGACGTACACGATTTCAAAGCATGGCATAGGGGTCAGGCACCTCTCTCCCTTCTCTAGGCACACACAAACCATGTCTCTTTTGTTGTGGAAAGAGCTGCTCTCTACAGTGCAGGACAACTATAACGGAGTGCATTGAAAGCCAATGCACAGGAACATGGTCCTGCCCAATGTACATGAACTAGAGCAGCCGAGCAGCACCTTCACTTTGCTTTTCCCTGGAAATGTACAAGAGGCTGCCTGCCCTTCACCATGCTCAGGAGGCATTCACTTTTCACAGGTGACAAGCTTTGTGCACATCAATACACAATGCACGTAGATGCGAGGTGGTTTTGGCTGCCTCAGTTCCCCTGTGTGCTGGGATTTCACGCTCCGTTCTCTTCCAGCCCAAGGGGTACCATGATCTTCCAGGCTTCCCTTGATGTTTCCATGTTACCACCTGGGATGCAGACACAAAGCTGGGTATCTTCACTGTGTCCTCATAATGGAAGAAGTAGGGCAGATACCTTTAAATATCAACATAAATTAAACAACTACTGACATATTCCTTCACTGACTTTAGGAAATTGGGCTGATTTAAACAATAAAAACTAAAATGCAAAAGATGTAAGAAAAAATACATGGAATTGTTAACAATTATTTAATTTTTAAATGCATAAACCAGGGATCTCCAATGACTCTGTGTTTTGCTGTTGTTATGCACAAGTCACAGCTAACAGCCTAGCAGAGAGCAGCCACTGGCAGAGGTGTTGCGTACCTAAGCTCTTATTCTCTTACATGGAGGTTTGTCTACTCTGGGTTTATTTTAAATTTTAACTAACTACTTCTATCCTATTCCATTCCTGAAAATGACTGAGGGGAATGCTAAATAGGTGTTTTAAAAAAATTTCTGTAATAGTGGACAGAGTGGTGAAGAGGAGCAGCTCAGGTGTTTGGCCAGAAAGGGGTGTTTGAGTCTTGAAGATGTGGAGATGAAACTGAATCTTGCCATCCCCTAGGTTAAGAGCCAGGCTTAGGGGAAAGATGCCAAAGCAGAATGACAGGCCACAGGGCATACAGTAAAGTCACCATCTCACCTGCCTTCTAGCAAAGGAAACTTGGTATGTACTTAGCCTCCCATCAGCTCACTTCATTTCTTCTCCACCAGACGTGAACATCTGCACGCAAGCAGCCATGTGCTGCCCAACTGGCATGGATGATTATGGATGGATTGCAGCGGCCGTTGGCTGGAGCCTCTGGTTTCTGACTCTCATCCTGCTCTGTGTGGACAAGGCCATGAAACTCCGGCCTGATGAACCCAAATATTTGGTGGCCTGAAGCAGGGCAAGCCAGCAAGCAGCAGCACCTAGGAGCAGTGAGGCGCAGACAGACTGACAAAGCATTTCAATCACTTCTTAAGGAACAAAACAGAAATGGAATGTACCTGCAGGCAAAAATGGCCAAATCTAATCAGGGCATCTGCTGGGGCTTCATCTTTCCCGGCCAAGGTGTGGAGCAGGCATGTCCCTGTGAGCCACCACCTGTGTCCCACATTGCACAGAAAACCTTTTCCCCAAGACATTTCATGCTTGCTGTGATTGTGCCAGCAGAATGAGGTGCGGAAGGACCAGTCACTAGTCTGTAGCATGTTGCCTTAAAACAACCCAGTTCATAACCTTTGGCTTTGAAACAGAAAGTGGGCAAATATATTTGCTGGAGGATCAGTTTTACCAGATCTGTTACTAAGCTACAGACCAGGTTGCGACATCAATAAGTGGACGTAACTCATTGATAATACTGAGTCCTTCTCACTCACCTGCACTATTTTAAAGTCCGTTAACTGATACCAGTGAAAGCTCTGTTCTGGAAACTTCAGGATTGTTTGGGCTGTTTTGAAATTAAAATTAGTTTTTCTAGTGGAGTTCATATGTGCAGTTTTGTAGGAATTGAATGGTGGTTGTATTTGTTCGGCTTGTGCCTGACTAACTAAACCAAGATGAACCATGACAAGCAGGTTTAAGCCAGCATATCCAAGTCATACACAAAACTGTTCCTATTTACGCAAGATGATAATAAACACTCTTACTGATGGGAAGATTCTCACTGGTTTATATTGATAAAGCTTATATTGGCAAGGAAATACTCAACCCAAATTGTTAGAAACATGATTCTAACAAGAAACATTTGTGCAGGAGGATTTGGCTCTCTGCAGTCAAACTGTCTGGTTTGGGGCGGTTGCATCAGTTTGATTTCTGTCTTTATTAAAAGAGTAAATCTATGTTAAACCCATCTAGATATACAAAGGATTAGCAAACCTGCTAAAGACAGACTGAAATTAAACATAGTTACCCTTTAATAAAATCAAGCTCTTTTAGAGATCCATTAAATATCATTAAAGCCTTCCTTCAGCTTATCAGTGCATAACTGTTCTAGTTGGAAAAGCTACAAACCAGTTTAAGACTTCTCAAATTGGTTCTGGCACAACCAGGCACTTAGATCAGAGCAACTATGCCATTTCAGAGTGATGGGCAGTTGCTTACCATCAACAGGAATGGGTACAAGTTGGACATTGAGGAGAAGACACCCTTCCCTATCATTAGTATCGTTTAACACAAAGTCTTCTGGAGTGAAATGCCCATCACTCTGAAATGACACAGAGTTGTCCTGATCAAAGTGCCTACATCTTATTGTTGGTGTTGACTGAAAGAACAGTGAGTTCCACAGTCACTGATATACAAGAAATCTTCTAGCTACATACAAGATTTTTTTCCTGATTTACTAGATTTAATAGTGGAAAATGTGCACTGGCGTGAAAGCATTGTGATACCGTGAAAAAATCCGCGCATACTGCATTAGTGCCTACCTTCTGCAGACCTCTTCCTACAGTTCTCCAGTCATACGGAGATTGTTCTCTTGGTTGGGAACACAGAAGCACCTGCTGGATATGGCACTGGCTTTCATCTTTGAGGAGATGTGTTTCATAGCTTTCACAATTCCTTGGCTAAGGCTATAAGTGGATGCAGCCTGTCACAGAAGTATTTCAGTCTTAAGTGTTGTAAGCATGTAATGTCCTACAGCCCAACACAACAGCCACAGAAAAGCTTCATAACAACTGGACAATTCTTGGGTCTTCCTAAAGCCTGCACAATCAGGTATACAAATGCAGATCATTTCTGATGTCAAATGTGTACTTTTTCTAGAACAGTTATCTGTAAACCTCTGATCTAATACAACCGTTTTCTTTCCTTAGTGCATCACACGTATGATATTGCCAGGTTTGATCAATAGCTTCTCCTTTTCGAGTCATTTGACTTAATAGGAAGTGGATTGAATCATTTAGAAAAATGTAGCCCTGTAATGAATTTTATGAGCATAAATAAAATGTATTTTGGGACACACTGGGATCCCAGTGTGTTCGGGATCCCTAAACAAAGTGGCAGCATCTCAAAAGCTCAGAGGCTACCAATGTAAACATCTCATCTGTTCCTATGCAATTCAGTACAGAAATAAAAGATTATTTTAAAGAGACTCACTAAGGTACATACCATGTATGGTACTGATCCTAGGCATGGTGGGCAATCACAAATACAATGCAAAGCAACATACCATGTAAAAGGAGAAAAGCCTGATCAGTATTGTCAGAGTTTCAGGAGGTTGTCAGTAGTTACAGAAAGTGTGGAATGAAAAAGTTGCACCCAAAAGACTTGAGAAATTGACATACAATTATGATATGAAAAATTAGTGTGCCAAAGTGGATTATCCATACCTGATTAAATATAATCTAAAGATTCTCTATTGTCTGCTGTTACATTTCCTGGAATGTTTTTAGGTAGGGAACACACAGTAGCACAGCTCGTGGGATATAACCACTGTCTTAAGACAAGTCACAGCAAAAGGCTGTGGTCTGGTTTTAATGTACAAATTAAAGTACAATGCCTTATAAATGTGGTCTTTAAATCATGTTATAGACTAGTGTACTCATTTATTGTGTATTATTTCACGTTCCTAATAACATCACTGACATTACAATACCTCCAATAATAGATCCCCAACTAATGTTATTTTGCCTGTCCTATTGACTTCAAGGGGGCTACACAAACATCCAGCACATGCCTTGTTTTGTTGCTTGGTGGTTTGGTTTTTTTTCTTTGTAATTCAGGAAGCTTGTCTTTTTTGTTCCCACAGGAAACCTTGAATTTCTGATTTATCAGCTATGCTAAACCTTGGTGCCCCTTCAGACTGCAACATGCAATATCATGCTGTAGCACTGAACTGGTTTAGGCCCTTGTACATCTCAAAGCATTTAAAAACTAAGATAGTTCATATCACTTATTAAACTGCAAAGTACCTTCACAGAATGATGATGGAAGCATTAACACTCCAGTCATTTATGGTACATTGTCTGTCTAGTCAAATTCTATGTCCTTGGATCAAAAAGTTCTTAACTGGAATGGGATAGAGAAGAAATCTATTCCAGCTCATATGGAACAAGGAAAAGTAAAAAAATGGTTGAAACCTACATGGCTGAATAAAAATAATCATGACTGAAAACCACAAGTTTGAGCCTTAACACTGCTGATCAAACCAGAACAGTTCTTCATGTTTTCTGGACAAGGTGTCTGAATTTCAGGCATGAAGGTACAATAGTGCCTAGAAAGGAAAGGGAGATGCAGAAGGCACTTGGGAAAGCTGCTGATCTTGGATAGGCAAACAGAGCAGTAGGGAGGTGTAATCACCATCAGCACTTCTAATATCAAAAGAGAAAAACATTAGCAGCAGCAGCACAGCATTCCAGGGTAAGTAATTTGCCTGGAGATAATATCTATCACATCTGAATAACGATTTTTAAAATTCTTAATTCAAGACTAAATGGATTGGTACTTGATGCATGACTCTTCATCTTTTTAGATACCATTGCTCTGGTAATGACTCACATTACTCACTGCCTTTATCCTTGGGGTTTTACTGAATGAGCTATATGTTAAGCAGTTGCACTTTACAATGATTACACTTTGCAGAATCACTACAGAGATGAAAACTGGCAAGCATTGGAGCTTCCCACTCACATGAAACACAGAAAACACAGAGGTTAAATTCCTCAGAAAAGGTGCTCTGTACTGGGACTCTGTAGGAATTTTTTATAAAGGCATTATAAAGACTCAGATTTCAGAAAATTATAGTGATTAATTACAGACAAGGAATGAACTACAGGCATTCTTGGGAAGTAACCACCCTCTCCCATCCTTGTGCTCCAGATCATGCTTATTTTGTGATATTGATGATACCAGTATCTGTTGCGGAACTCAAACCTTGCTGCAGGTTTCTGTCCCAGAAGCAAACAAAGGGGTTATTTCCAACTCCCGTTTCATAATAACCTTCCAGACATTAACACAGGGTAAACAATACAGTATTGTCTCCCAAGTCTGCAAAAGGCTTGGGAAAAAATACAGATCTAAGAGACACACAGACTTTTCCTGTCCAATTTGACGGTATGAAATCTAGACACATTCAGTTAACCATTTTCCTGCCTATCAGAAATCATCAATGTTTTATGGGCCTTTATGCTTTGCAGACATAAAACACTCCCAGAACTGACTCTCCCTCCAAAATGAAAGGCTCTCTGCAGTCACAGGGGAAAAGTGTCCGGTTTCAGTGACCAGCAGATGAAGCACTGTTCCAAACCCCACACTTGCTTGTCATGGTGCCCTTGCTGCAAGAGCTAAAGAACTAAACTAATTGTGAATGTCTACATTTTCTCTCCGCTGTTATGTGTGATAAAGTCACACCTTCTATTTATAAACCTGCTAGACACACATTTTGGGGGCAGCACGAACTAAACACCATTCATGTTGTGTCAGTCCCAAATCCTGCCATTTCTCTCTTTCCAAAGGCCCCCACCAAGATTTGGTTTGCTACTTCAGGGAACCAAAGAACCTGGGGCAATTTATTACCTAATAGATGAAGCTGTACAGACCTTGCATGTGCTGCTTCAACAGCAAGGTGGGATCAGAGGCCCCTTTAGTCCAGTTCTATCTCCCAACAGCAGGTGTTGGGGGAAGATAAAGACCACATTGCACACAGCAATCCTCCCTTCCCTTCCCCTCCTCTGCCCCCTCACAGGTGAAATACAGCACCCTTCCGATACAGAACTGACCTATCTTCTATCAGCATTTTCCCCTGGTGTTTTGAAAGGAATCCTTTGGGGACTGCAGATAGTCTCATACAAAAGTACCTTTCTGTGACTCGCTTTTCAACTCTTCTCATGTGATTTCAATCCCTCCAGTTTCCCTCCACCCTTCTCTCTCCTCCTGATCTCATTTTCCGTAAACTTCACATATTCACTACTGAGTTTGTGCATCAACTTAAACAGAGTGTGTCACCCTTCAACTGTTTCAGGAGTGGCTTTTCTTTTTAAAGACAAGCATATAGAAGACACTTCTCTAATCCCCAAGCCCTAGTTAAACTTTCTGCTACCTCTGTGCTCTTTGGCTGCTGTAT